ATGTTTTGAGAATGATGAGGGCAATGAATGTATAAATGTGCTTTACACAATTGATGTATGTATGGATTGTGATCAGAGTTGTATGAGCCCCTAATAAAATGATTTTTTTTAAAAAGTTCCCTTTGGAGTGCCGGCAGAGTATGGTCCTCGAGGTCAGCCATGGGCAGTTGTCACTGGGCAGCCTACAGTTCCTGGTTCCTGAGTCACTGTCCCCTGGAGCTCCCCCAGGCCTTGGCCCCTGCCCTGCACATCTCAGGGTCCTTCCTGTCATCTGATTTCACATGAGTAGGGGGAGGCAGACGGCTGGGTCAGAGAAGCCCCTTCTGGCGAAGTGGAGTGTATCTTGACCATCCAACAGTGCTGTGTGGCCTCCTAGTCATCATGGGGTTATGGTGTGGCCCGAGGCTGGTCGTACTTTCGCCTGCCCCCCAGTCCTGGCACCTAATGAGGGAGGTGGGGTGGGGACAACCTAACTGCCAATGCACCTCTTTAAAGTATTTGGTCATGAACCTAGAAGGATGTCCACGTCCCCACCCCACAGGTTGGGCACCAGTGCTGGAAGATAGAGTCTGAGAGGAGGATACTCTTCACACATTTGTGTCTTGGAGGGCCACCTGGAGCTCATTGGCCTTGACCCCAGAAACACTGGGCCAATAAAACACAGACTTTGACACCCTGCCTCTATGACAACAGAGAAGCCACAAGCAGAAAAGGAGGAGGAGGAAGAGGCGGGGCATGAGCCTGAGGGCAGAAATGGGGTTTAGGACCATCTTTACCATTTTGGGGTCCCAGCACCAAAAGGCTCACCCAGTGGTGCCTCGGAAGAAAGGTAAAGAAATGGCTCCTTCCCAAAATGCAGCCATTAGACCCTGCCTGTGGCACAGCTTTGCTCTGACACCCACAAGCCCGCCAGGAGCTGCGTCACCTGAGCAGGACCTGGGTTTGTCATTCTTTTTGGTGTTGGTTTTCCTGTTCACATCTGCCAAGGGGCACCTGACACCTGGCATTCATCTTTCATTCTAAAGGTGTGTGTGTGTGTGTGTGTGTGTGTGTGTGTGTGTGTGTGTGTTTTGTGGGGGTGGGAGGAGAGGGTGGGCTGTAGGGTAAAGGTGGAGTGGGGCTAGGTTTCTGTCCATAGTTTGTTTCGGGGTGGCCTGTGAATCATTTTGTCTAGGAAAAATCTGCTAAAGTCGTAAGATGCCCCCACTCAGCTATTAAGGAAGGATCGCAAGTAAATGCCCTGGAAAAGCCACCATGCCTGAGCGGTTTCAGTGTTTCCACTGCGACCGCAGGGCTATTTTCTCCCCCAGAGCCCTGGGCATCTGGGAGCGCTGCTTCCTCCCACTGCCCAGACCGAACCGAACGCTGGGGGTCCAGCCGCTTCCTGAGTTGTACTGGGCAACTGCTGCCTGTAAGCAGGTCACCTTGTCAAGAACGTGGGAGAAATCCCCCCTCTTCTACAGTCATCTTCTTGGCGAGCGTCAACTGGCCTACGAGACAGCACCCTACTGACCTCTGAGAGGCCGCCCTGACCACCTGCTCCTAAGGGGCAGTGTCAGCCCAGGGGCCAGGCGTGACCCAAAGGCTGGGCCTGAGGGTTGGACAGACTGGGTCAGAGATCACTCGGACATTCGGCAAGTGACCAAGGGCAAGTTCACGTCCTACTGTCCCCACTCAGTGTCTGCATTCCTAGCCAACAGCAGCAGCAGGCATGCCCACCCTGGGGGGCTGGGGCCACGTGGAAAGGGTGGGCAGTCAGGAAGGCTGCCTGGTGCCTTCATTTCACTGGATAGAGATGTTGTCCTAGGAGCCTAGAGAGCTCAGTGAGGGAGTGCGGAAGTGGGTGGGCAGCTGGGTAGTGTGGATAGACGGGTGGGTAGATATATGAACGGACAGAAGACAAGACACCGGAGGGAGGGAAGGATGCTTAAACATATGGATAAGAGATAATATAATCTAGTTGATAGTGAATGGATAGAAAATAATTTACAAATAGTGGATAGATAGATGATAGATAAATAGGTGAATAGATAAGTAAATGATAGATGACGCATAGATAGGGGATGGGTAAATAGAACATGGATAGATAGATGATAGTTGGGTAGATAAATGATGGATAGATGGGTGGTGAATATATGGATGATAGATGGATACACAGATAGACAGCAGATAAGAGAGAGAGATAGGTGATAGCTAGTTGGTAGATAAATGATGGAAAGATAGACGATGGATAAATAGATGATGAATAGATGGACGATTGGTGAATATATACTTAGATGACGGATACACATTATAGTTATATCTTGTGTACTAGTTAAACACTTTGACCAGAGAGCACCACTAATGAACTTGACCCGAGACTCAGGGAAGATAATCTTGAATCCTTGGCTATGACAGACTTGAGACATAAAGCCCCCAACGGGAGGGCGTGCTCCTTCCTGTGTGTCTGGGCGCCCAGCAGGGAGGAGAGGAACCCTTCATGCTCTTACCTTTCAGAATCGGGCAGATCTTCCAGACCCCAGCAGCCCCTTCCCTGTTGAACTGCCCGAGGGCAAGCTCCATGTAGAAGAGCGGCATCCCAGCGATGACCATGAAGAACAGGTAGGGGACCAGGAAGGCACCTGTGGGCACGGCAGGACAGCATGTTGAGCAGGCGGTGCATGGAAGGCCACCTCCATCCCGGAGTCTGGGCTCAGTGGTCTAATCAACCCCTGCAGTCTTGAGGCCACTTGCTTTTACTTGGCTGCCCACCCTCCACAGGGCAGTCCCAGGTGGGCGTGGGTGGGCCTCTTCTCTCCATAGCTGTCCTTTGCTATCATCAGTGCCCCTGCGTGACACTGAGATTCCCCAACCGCCAGCTGGCTGGCAGAGCAGATGAAATCCCACCCACTTTTCAGCGCTTCTCCTGGGGCTGCCCCTCTCCCCTGCCTGCCCACTATCTCCCCCGGGCAGCCATCCATCCCCTCCTTTCAGGGCACTGACCTGGACCCTTGGTGAGCTCCGAGCCTGGCTCTCTCGGGGCCCACTGTTGGGGCTCCTTCTGGGCATCCAGGGCCTGCTCTGTGCTTCTCCCAGGGAGCAGCTAACCCGAATCCCCCTGGAGCCACCCTGAGACAGGGGGGCGCCCCCCACCCAGGTTCTCCTCTGAGGGTGGGGAGGGGTCATCCCTGTAGACAGCCTACAGCTCTGTCTGAACAGACCCCGGTCCCTGCTGACATCCCAGGACTTTCGTCCTGAAGATGGGCGAGCGAATGCCAGCGTACTCATGGGCATGCCGCACAGCCTTTTCCAAGAAGCCTCCCAGGGACCCTTCCCTGTGCAGCACAGAGCAGTCAGCACGTCACGGAGCAAGGGAGGGGTGGACAGAGACGCATGGAAACCAGAACAAGCCTAACCTTGGGGAAGTTTTGGGTGAGCCTTATCTTCTCTTCCTGACTCGAACCCAGAGGCAGTAGTGGCTGCGTGGCTGGGGGAGTGCTGGATCTGGTGGGCACAGGTCTAGGGCAGTCTCCTGTGACTTCAAACCCCTCTCGGCCTTCCCCTGTCCCCTCCTCCTTCTTCAACACCCCCACCCCCTTGTTCTTTCCCTTCTCACTGACTTCTTCTCTGTCTCCACAAGGCCCCCTGAGACTGGGTTACAGAGAGGGAGAGAAAATACCCTCTTTCGAACCACGTTCCAATGACCCGCCAACAATGGATCAGCAGTCAATGGTACCATTCTTTGGGCCTTTGAGAATTCTTTTTCCTGAGTGTAAACAACTGCTGGAAGAGGAGGGCCGAATTCAGAGGTCCCCGAGCAACTTCCTTCCAACACCTCCTTCCCCGGCCCCCGTTTCCTCAGATGCAAAACACACAGATGGGACCACATGGCTTTGAGGCCTCCATCTATAGTTTTGCATGGGATCACATGGGCCTCACTACTGCGTCTCACGTTCTGTGGACACATTTATCAGGTGAGCCCAGCCGGCCCCCCTCCCCCTGAGAAGGACATCATGCTTGGCAAAGGAGAAGGCCAGTGAAGATGAGGAAGGTGGATAACATGATTGTGAGAATGGCACGGGACCGGGTGGGGTGTCAGGGTCGCTGTGAGTCCAAACCCACTGGAAGGCACCTGACCTCAACACTGTGTGCAAAGTTAGGATGCATGCCTGCTCAGAGGGACACTGTATTCTTGTCCGAGTTGACCCATGTCTTGCCATCTCTGCCTCTAGCTGCCCCCAGGCACCCTGGGCACCCCACCCAGGATGGAGCTAGGACTCACCGCCACCGTTTTTGTAGCACAGGTACGGGAACCGCCAGACGTTGGCCAGGTCCACGGCGAAGCCGATCACGGAGAGCAGGAAGTCGATTTTCTTGCTCCAGGTCTCCCGCTCCTGGGGCTCCTCAGGGCTCTGCGGCGGGTTGATGATGGTGGAGTTGGTGAGCTGCACCCCATTTTGCTCCTTGACCAGAATGAGCTCAACCTCCTTGGGGCTCATGGCATTGGCCTCCTTAGCTGGGGCCACCGTGGAGGACATTGGTCCACGCGAGCATTTGATTTTACTCATGGGCAGGCCTGGTCTCTGGGGACGCCAGCAGTCTTCTCTCTCTGGGGCTTCAACCAGCCTGAAAAGCAACCACACACAGGAAGGACAATTGTTCAAAAGATACGACTACCCATGAGCCCTTGCATCAGGAGCAGAGATGCCACGTGGCATTGATTGCTAGGGGGATGGGGGAGACAAGTCCCTTCTCCACACCACGGGAGGCAGAGATGAGGTGACGCAGGGTCGGAGGCTGGTTGGAGGAGAAGGCAGAGCTAGGGAGGATGACGAGGAGGTTGGGGAAGGGAAGCCGGTGGCCTTCCAGACACAGCAATCACGTGGGGCTCTCCTTCCTCATCCAAGTCCCCTGGGGTGCTGCGTCACAATAATCTTGTGGAGACGTCACTTCCAGGGCATAGCCCCCAGTCCACATCTCCTGGGAGTCATTTACCATCGTAAACTGTCATCCCAGGAGAAAGACCAAGCTTTCTACTCCCCTGAGGAGTCACAGTCTCAGAAACCCACCAGGACAGTCCCACCCTGTCCTAGAGGGTCAGCCTGAGTCCGCTTCGACTCGATAGCGGCACGTTCAAGGCTGGGTGGCTGTAACAACGGAATCAAACATAAGAACGATTGTGAGGATGGTGCAAGACCGGCGGTGTTTCTTCCCGTCCTCTGCAGGGTCACTCGACGGCACCGAACGTGCGAATCATCATAATTTCTCAAAGGGGGTGGGGTTTGAAGAGGAGCTGATACCAAGGGCTCAAATAGAAAGTGAATGTTTAGAAAATGATGATGGCTATGTAGGTACAAATAGGCTCGAAACAAAACAAGGGATGGATGGATGGATTGTTATAAGAACTGTTAAGAACCCCCAATAAAATTATATTCAAAAAAACAGAGCATGCCTGCGAGCCTGCGGCACCAGACCTGCCCTTGACCTGCGAAGGTCAAAGGAAGAGGCCTTTTCCTCTCATGAAGACCGTCACAGGCAAATCCCAAACCAAACCCGTCACCTACGCCACCATGCTGCACAGAGTAGAACTGTCCCCACGGGGGTTTTCCAGGGCTGGGAATCTTAACCAAGCCCACTGCCACACTTTCCTCCAGAGGGGACTGCCGGCTGGCTTAAATGATGGACCATGCGGTTTGTGACAGGGTGCTTAGCTGCTGGCCCACCAGGTGCCCTGTTGCAGGCATGAAGAACTGGCATTTCAAAAATAAGGAGGAAAACAGCGGAAGGAACACCTGTCCTGTCCCCATCACCTGTGACTTCCCCAACAGTGCCCAGGAAGATCACCAAGGTAGAAGGACCAACCCCCCCAGCCCCGCCCTCCACCCAAACTCACTGCCACCCAGGGCTGACTCATGGGGACCCCCTGTGGGTTTCCGAGCCCGTGACTGCTTACAGGAGTGTTAAGCGGCAAACACTGTATGGCCTGAGCGCATCTATCCAGATAGAGGGAAAGAAGCACCCTTACGGACCAGGAACAACGGGGTCCTACCCGCCCACTGCACCCTGGAAACCATAGAAGTGGTGGGGAAAGCAGCAAAGGGGGTTGACAGCGTTCACACAGGGACACAGCCGGGGGCCACGGGCCCCTCTCGGCCTGAGAACTCCAAGAAGAGGGAGGTCCTTGTTTTGGGGTTTGGATCGCCCCCCACCCACCCACGCAGAGGCACTTGCTCACTCTGTGCGGTGCCCCCAGCTTGAGGGGGTGGAGGCTCGGGTGAGGCCATCCCAGTCTCAACTCGCGCTCCAAACAAGTGATTGGACCGCCACTGACCACCCCAGCAGGGTCACACCGCCGCCTGGCGCCAGAAAGGTCCTAGGGGGCGCGGACCCCCGTCGGGACCGAGCTGGGAGAGGGGGTGGGGGGATGGGGAAGTGACAGCCACAGTCGACCAGTTGCAGGGACCCCACCCCCCACCCCAAGCTGCGAACCCCAGGCTGAGCGACTCGAGTTAATACAACTTGGTCGCCTCAGCGGCGATGTTTGGGGTGCAGGACGCCAAAAGTGGGTGCCTTAAGGAGGTTCTTCCTCCTGGGCTATCAGGGCAGGACCCAGCTCTGGGGAACTCCGGGCCGCCCGCCTGCCGGCTCTCGGTCTGATTCGGTCGGGGAAGCGCTTTCCTCCCGGGAGGAGCTGCCCCGTCCCTGCGCGCCGGGACCAGAGCAGGGGCTCCCCAGAGGGGCCACCGCGGGGCTCGGGGTCGCCGTCGCGCTGGGGACTCGCGCTGGCCCGCTTTACCTGCCTGCCCGACGGCTCC